GATGCATATTTAATATAACTTTTTTTTTGTATCAGGATTACACAATTTAAACAAAGCACAAGGCATTGTGATCTCTCAGATATTTGTGTATATATGTGCATATATGTGCAAGTTTTAATTCTTGTCCCTTAATTTCGCATTTGAGGAAAGTGTCACGAGGAATTTTTGACACTCCTAGAACATGGCAATGTTCTGAAAAGCTGCGTGCTTTGTATTTTTCAATTAAGATTGAAATCAGACATGTAATCCACCTGTCAGCAAGGAACTGAGACTTGAAAAATCGGGGGGTGGTTGTTTTTTTAATTGTCCTTCTACGTCATTCTGTGCGGCTACACTTAATCTAGACTGATAGACAACTCAAACCAAAGAAGGAACACCGGCATCAAATAGATAAGGAAATACATTATCAGTTCCATTTGAGAGAACCCAGTTTAAAATTAAAACATTCAAATTTCAGCTGTAGATTACCTTTGACTGTAGAGTACCTTGTCCCATCAAAAAAAGAAAATAACACAACATTGTCTACAGTCTGAGCAAGCTCCTGATGCTCCTCGCCCCTTCAGAAAGCACAAGGTCTACCGTAATGTCCTGAGTCTTAAGCCACATACTAAGAAATATGGTTATTAAAGAAAAAAAGTTTGCCTTATTATTATTGCCGTTACCTACTTAGTTTCTCTTCTGACACACTACAGAACAGAAAGGGCACCTTTGGGGTCTGATCCTGCGTTTCTGGCACACTCAAAGCTCTCACTGAAGTCAATCAAAGTGTGGCATACCTGGAGACTGCAGCATCAGGCCCCCAATTACTTCCTCGTTACTCAGTGAAATCTTACCTACAGGTGTAATAATATAACTGGAACAGATACATATTACCCTATTTTTATTTTCTGCTCATCTGCAAGATGTCAGGAATTTGCACAGACCATTCTTTGAGAAGAAACATTAAAGAAATGTAAAATATCTGGATGTCCAAAAGTACAAAATAAAAGTATCTCCTCATTTGAGAGCTGAAAGGTTCAATATTCAGACTAATATTTCTCTTCTACAGCTGAGGCATCAGATTTCTAATCTGTCAACAGTCCTTTTATAAAAAAGAGATGTATGTATATTTCTATCCATTTTTAATTACATTTTATAAATGATGATCTGTATATTATTACCTCTCAGCTGCAAATTAACTAGAAAATATAAACAAATATCAAAAAGACTCAGGCCCTGATCCTATTCCCACGAAAGCCAGCAGAAGGAGAGCCATAAATTTCTATGGGAGAATTACTAGGCTTCAGAGTAGGTTTGTGCTAAAGGAAGAATTGTGAGGCACCAGGTGAAGCCAGGTACAAAAGAAATGTAATTAAAGTGCAAAATGTTATCCTATGCTCGAAAAAGTTTAAAAATCACCAAATTTTGCAAGCATTTTTCAGATTTGAATAGCTCAAAAGAAAAAAAAAAAAAGAAGAAAAGAAAAGATTTATTGGCAATCTCAACAGACAATTTAGGCTGAACACAGAATGCAGGATAAGGCCCAGAATGTTTATATTGAACAATCATAGATTGTCTGTGCTGGGAAACTCAACTTGAACTGCAGCTGGAAAGGTTTCTTTCCTTTTTTCTTTTCTTTTCTTTTTTATTTTTCCCCTAACTGATCTGGTTCAGCCAGGGCATAGCTGTAATTACCTTCTTCCCATCTACAGCTAATACCTCAGAGCAATAAAAAAATATGAGGGTGTTAAAAATTCAAACACTAATTATGGGCTGTTATATTTACTAAACACAGCAGAGTAATAACAAAAGTTTCAGCTTCTTGTGGCCAGTACTGCACTATTTGATCTACCAAGTCCCTGGACCCTTTACACTTACTGTATTACATAACAGTTAATAGCACACTAAAATAAAATTCGATAAACACATTTATTACCAAACACGTATAACACAACCGCTTACAGCTGTCTCCTTTTCCCAGCACAGGTATATCTCTGAAGAGTTCATTCCTTTGTTGATTTTGGTTTTGGGTTCCAGTTAAGTTACATAAATAGTAGAGCAGTAGATTTTGAAAAGGGAAGCGTGCACTATTTGAGTACCCCGTTTCAAGTCTTATGGTAAATATTGGCTAATCCTACAGTTCTTTCTGTTACTTTCCCTTCTGCCTGCTCTCAGGTCTAGCAAAGGAATAAAACTGAGAGCCGCCTTAGTTCCTAGTTCAGCGCTGTCACCGCCACCACCCCTCGCATTGACGTTAAACATGCTCAGTGTAGCTTTATACCACTTAATAAGAATAGAGGTGTGTGGATTTTTGGGGTGTCAAACAGCTGTCACAAACTGTCACCTCCACAAGAGAAACCTTGGCACACAACAAATTAAACTACACTTCTTTTTGGCTATCATTATTCATAGCCAATCAGTTGAAATGCTCCTAGTATTTCATGTGCAAATAAAACCATGAGGGGAAGACCCATGGATCAGAATAGTGGGCCAATACATAAAACAGAGGAAACAACATGCTGTCTCTGTCCTTCTGAAGTGGCTCATCATCACCCCTGCACCAACTTTCACCAAATGAGATCTAGCCTGAGGCTATATATTAAATATGCATATCAAAGCAAATGAAAAAATAAACCTGGAGAGTCAAATTGGACAAATTTGCATGCTTGAACTGCTACATTTGCAGGTAGATGCTCACAAATGATAGCTCGTTTTTTGATAGTCTTGCATGTTTATATTAGCTATTTTTTAAAGCTTTTCCTTCTTTATGAGTAAAAGTGGATTTCTTCCTGCTGGAGCCTTGTACAGTGCAAATATAAAGGCGTACGCACACGGTAGTTTGACTAAGCTTTAAAAGAGTGTTGAAGTTTTGTTGGGAAAACAAGCTAATATACCAAAAAAAAAAAAAAAAATCCAATAAGGAGACACATTTCCCAAAACGCATGAATAAAATGTAACTATGTGATACAACTCTTCATTTCCCAGTTGGTGTTCTGGTTGCACAAATTATTGCTTCCTTTCAAAACAAATAGCAGGGGGCTAAAGTAAAAATGTTATAGCTCAAATCTCCAGGAAATAAAAGGCTTTAAATTATAATACCCAATGAAGTGGTAAACCCTAACGGGTGCAAGATAAATGGGTTGTCATATTTATTTGAGTTTGTTTTTTTGGGCCACAAAAGCAAGAGGAGATTCTTCTTAGGGAAGATAATAGTTATCAAATTATCAAAATGCTAACCCCCTCCACCCCTGTCCTATCATTGTGTGTGAATTTAAATATTATAATGGTGCACTGCAAATTGGCTTGAGCATTCGCCATCTGCCAGAACCCTAAACAGGCTAGTTTATCTAATCTCTTCAATATAAACATAAGCATGCTCCATTTCTACACTTCCACTTGAAACACACTCTTGTAAAGAAACTATGCTGGAAAAACATGTACTTTTTTTTTCTGTTGCTCTGAATTATACACAATGACCCCCTGTCTTTCAGGTTGCCACTCATTTCAATTTCTTTTCTAGTACTCTCCCAGAATACTTATGCACGCGAGTTTAGTGTTGTAAAATACCATAATTTTTAGAGTGTCATGCCTCATAGAGTTTAGTATCTATGTGTGAGATAGCTGATAAGCAGAGAAACTTTCAGGAACCTCCGCATACATTTTTTTCGCTCAAAATAATAGACTTAAAATGTAAAACATCACAAAAACCTTGTCCTGCAATGTTTACCGAATACAAATGAGAAAATGAAAGCTAAGGCTTGGGTCCAAAAATATTTCCCGGGCTCTGGAACTAAGCCGTGCCAGAAGTGGGGCATTTAGAAGAATTTATTATTATTTTATCTCCCAATTCAACTTCAGTCCAGGTCTAATGTAATTATCAAATACACACACAAACAACATGTTTTCAAAGGAAACAAAAGCTCCTAGAAAGCTCATTCTCCCTGGGCTTACAGCTACTCTTCTTGACACACTGGGAAATAAAGGCAGGCGCCCGTGCAGAAAGCATGGTTAACTTCACACCGGGTGTTAAATTAATATTTCAACCGCTAAAATATTGGACTGTATCATTTAGATTATGAGTTCAATTGAAACTAAAACTGTGTAAACCCCTTTTCCCCCCAGGGATGCGTTCCTATAAATAAACCAGAGTTCACACCCACTCTTTTTAACCAGAGCTATTCCTTCCCTTTTCTGCGGTACCAGCTGCAATCTTTCCCTTCACATCCCGAAGCCTCTCCGCGTCTACATCTTTTGAAGGATCACAAGAGCCGCTCCAAAACCCGGAAAAACAAAGGCACTCTCCTTACCACGCACACCAACGTTCAGTCCTACACACATAACACTAATTCACCAACTCCTAAAGTGTTAAAATCAACCGCTAACCTACGGTTACTCAATCATCATTCTCTCCAGCTTTCTGTAATACATTGTTAATAATTGCTTCATCAAGGTTACTGTCTTTTATTATGAAGATGCTTCAGGCGTTTGGCAATAAGTCCATATTCTGACAATAAGTTGCTATAAAGCACAAGCATTGGAAACTCTAATGTGCTAACCCCTTTTTTTTAATGCAATGTAGTATTGCCAATAATTCTCATCACTTGTCATCCCCACGAGAGGGGAGGGGGGGAGCAAATCAGCAAACTTTCTCCCTAACTTTCTTGTCTCTCTTTCCTTACATTGCTGCATTGCTTACAGAGTTGGCAAAGAAGAAGAGAAAGCACCGATTCCCACATCAAACCGACAGTTTGCTAGCTCTCCAAGCCGCCCAGACCAGGAAACTTTACAAACCATTGCAATCTCCCTGCTTTACAGATGGAAACAGAAGGAACCTTTCGCATTTCTACAACTTTACAAAGCGAGAGGGAAGAAAGTGTGAAGATGGGATCCGAGCTCGCAGGAGGTTAAAGTAGTAGTAGTAATAATAATACTAATAGACAACAGCAGCAAAACAGGGGGACAGGTCCTCTAAGCAGGTTAAAGTCTTAAAAAAGTGCCATAAAGAAATCAGAAGGACTTACATGATCGGCTAAATTTGTGGAAGATCCTGAGAGTTCTTCGTGGTCTGATTTGGAGCTGCCATCCCTTTCATCAATAACGAGGTCTATTGGCATTTTTCCTTTCAAACAACTAATGTACCGATGGCAGAAGTTATCGCACAATTCATGAACCTGAAAACAGTAACAAGAATAGTAGTATCAATAATGGCCAAATATCAGATTGCAACTTTTTTTTTTTTTTTTTTTTTGGTAGCAAGAACAACCCTCTGATCTACTCCACAAGTAACTCTAATTAAGGGGCACAATAGTTGAAGGCAAGGAAACAATAGAGAAATTGTTGCAGCACATATTATTCTCTAGAGACTTGCCGCAGCAACAAGTTAGAGAGAGAGAGATAGTGGGCTCAGTCTGGTGTGCGGAGGAAAATCCGATTTGATGATAACATCAGAACACTGGGAGCTGGACCCAGGCGGTATCTCTGGAGCATACACAGCCCAGACAGGTACAACTAGTCACTCGGGACGGGATCGGTTTAAACCGGGGCTAAAAAAAAAAAAGGTCTAAGTGGCCGGGAGAAGTCAAACGAAGCTGCTGGCTAAGGCTGTGGGAAGAGCCGTTCTCGTCCTAGGGCACAACCCCCTCCCCACGCCGCGCAGGGGCCCCCTGCCTCTTCCAAACATTTCGTACTTGCTTGGGGTTAATATGCCTGCCAGAGCTGGAGAAAGGCAGGAGTGCTTTCATTTCTTCTTTTTGTTTAAACATATTATTTCCCAGTCAGGAAAAGAGCTTCTACTGAGGGAAGGGGTAAGAACGATGGAAGGGGTTTAATAATATATATTTAGTGACTCGGTTGATATTACGCTGAAAAAAAAATAATAATAATAATAATGCCGGGCTGGGCATGGCTGTCGGGTGTCACATGCTCTGATGGCACAGGTTACAGCATCACACTGCGTTTCCCCTGTCTCCTCTGGCCATGTTTACAAGTCATCCCCAACAGCCAAGGAGGGGGGACCGGGGAGGACAGGGGGGGACAGGGAGGGAATGGTTTGCCCCCCGCCCACCTCCGTGGCTCTTACCTTTTCTAATTCCAAAAGGTGAAACCTTAGTACTTGTATTGCTTGGATCATCTGCAAGAAAGTTTTGAGCAAGGGGTTAGGCGGGAGGCAGGAGCACGGGGGCTGTGCAGAGCTGCGAGCCCGAGCGGGCGAGGGGGAGAAGGGGATTGTCAGGGCGCGCAGTCATTATCCAGGATTTTAGCTCATTGGTCACGCTTGAACAATTTTGATCAACTTTAACATAAGCACTTGATTTTTATCATATTTATTCCAGAAGCGGTGATTAGTGCTTTATTGCCGCGATCTTGGAG